TTTTGCTTTCCAGACTAAGTCTCCTTTAGAATTTAACAACTTAATTCCCATATTGGCAGCAAAATCTCTAAACTCTTCTGATGTGAACATTGTCCCCCTGATCAGTAGTAATAGTTTAAGGAATCTTAAAATGATACACAATATACTCCTTGACAAAACCAATCATGTTCTTTGAGGTTATCATCTTCAAAGGAATTGCCTCAACCCACTTAGTAAAGTAATCTATTGCTACCAATATAAACTTATGTCCTTTGCTTGAAGGCAGAAAAATCTGGCCAATTAAATCAATTCCCCAATCTCAAAACGGCCATGGTTTGATTATTGGATTCATAGCCGTTGCGGACGATTTCTAAATATTACCAAAACATTGATAATTCTGACACCCCTTATAATATTCAAAACAATCTTCTAGTATTGTTGGAAAGAAATATCCAGTCCTGTGAATAATCCATTTTATCTTATAAGTCGATTGATGAGCTCCACATATCCCTTCATGTACTTCACCCATTAATACCTTAGCTTCTTCTTGATTTAAGCATTTGAGCAACACCCCATCGACTGTCTTGTAATATAGTTGATCATCTAGCAAAACATACTTAGTCGATTTATACCTTAGTTTCCTAGTAACCTTCTGTGATGGATTCTTAAGGTAATCAGCTATTTCAACTCTTCAATCATTATTTGAGGTTTCACTACTTAAGATCTCTTGAAACACTCGATAACCTGACGCACTTTGAGCTAAACGATTAGCCTCTTGATTCTGTGCTCTCGGAATATGCTGAAGAGAAACATGAGGAAATTACTTGAGTAACCTTTAGCACTTATCATAGTACCCCCTCAGAGTATCTTCTTTACATTCATATAGGCCGATCAACTGATTAATAATTAACTGTAAATCTCCAAATACTTCAATTGCCTTAGCCTTTACTTCATGAAGAAGTTGAATCCCCTTAAGAATAGCTTCATATTCTGCTTGGTTGTTGGTAATCATTAGTTCAGTTGGAAAAGCAAACTCAAAACTTGCCCCCCGAGGTGAAATAATAACAATACCTATGCCACCACCTTGCTTGCATGATGACCCATCAAAGAATAACGTCCAAGGTACCGGCTCTACATAGCCAATACTTGGCTTACGATGCTGGGTGACAAAATCGGCTATTACTTGCCATTTGACTGCTTTAGCCGATTCGTACCTCAAGTCAAATTTCGACAATCCAAGAATCTACTTCCCCATTCTTCCATTTAATATTGGCATTGATAGCATGTGCTTGGTCACATCAGCCTTGGAACTGTACACTCAACCGATAATAAGTAATGTCGCAACTTAGTGCAAGAGAAATATAAGCACAAGCATAACTTTTCGACGGGAAAATATCTTGTTTCTAAATCTAAAAGCCTTCTACTTAGAAAACAACTCATTCTTTTTCTTCAAACTCTTGCATCAAGACCGATCCAATCGTTTGGTCATCGACCGATACGTACAACTTAAAAGGCTTACCTTGCTGAGGAGGGATCATCACAGGTGGACATTTCATGTATTCTTTTATCTCTTCAAACGTCTTTTATTGTACATCACCCCACTTAAATTCTTGATCATTTTTTAACTTCAACAAGTAATTGGTATTGATTGATTGGATCTCCTTTTATAATAACCGGGGTTCAATATTTATACCCGGAACCTAAGCATGAATCCTACTTAGGTACGACTCATTACAATCTTTGGTATAAGAGAAAACATTCCTAATTTAAGATAACTTGGACCCTAATCTTTTCCCTTTTTAGAGTCCGACATGTCTTTCCCAACGCCAACCGTAACTTATTGTCGTTATCTGCTGACGTCATCTGAAGAGAGCCGATTCTAGTGCCACATCTGAATCAGCTGATGTCGACCCTTATGCAATCGATTCCTTGACGATACAATATTGGAAGTTTCGAGTTCCCGCGTTCTTCTTCCTAAACTTTGGTGTAAACAGAAAGCAATAACCAAACTACTCACTCTCCCTCCTAATTAGTGAGGAGTAACGCGGTATTTTGCCAGACTCCTTGTTTTATCTAAAAATCGCTTTGATTCATTATATTTTAGGATGGAGGAAGTATATAAAAACAAAAAAAGTTGTATGTATAAGTGAAACCTATATGTTCTTACATCTATTATTATTAGAATTGGGCAAGGCAATGAAAGAATCTAATAAAAAGACTAATAGAATTAGATCGAATTGTAAATGATGCATGGAACATCAATACAAACAACAATATATAGATGCCTTATATATTTCCAATATATTGAAAGTAGTAATTATATAGAATAAAAAATAAAGTTATAACATATTTACGTCTAAATATTTATGTGGTTTGCAATAGAAGGAAATATCAAGATTCTATTTTAATTCAAGCTTAATGTCATATTGTTGCCTGACATTAAATTACATTTTGGATGCCATGGTCATCATATAATAAATTATAATTTTTAAATACTAATGGTGAAACATAAATAATATGTCCATTTCTATGGTAGTTCCCCATGAATGCCTGATTTTTTCCTCCCGTCGCAATGCACGGGTATATTTGCTAGTCTTAAAAAAAAAGAGAAACAACAATAACAAAAGATAGAAACAAAAGAAGCCTAGTTTTCCGATCCTCTTATTTTGGAGGGGAGCCAAATTAAAACTGCTGACCATGTTTAGGCAAACGACGACGGCGATCAAACTGCTGACCGTCTGTTCATACAGGCGAGCCAAATGCAGAGCACCAGCAATGCTCATCAAACAACTAGTTAATAAAATATATAGCTTACAATTTTCTCATAAATTGAACGATGGGAGATCGACACGACGAGGATATCATGGAGCCGAAACAAGTTTATATAAATGAGCAAATTGTAAGACAATATATATAACGGTCTTGTGCACGGTTCTTTTATTTTAAAGAATTACACAGTAACATAGACGCTCACAACACGCACGCACACTCACTCCTATGAACACAGATACGCACTTACCCATATGAGGACCTCCGAAGGACTAAGCCGGCAGATCTTGAGATTCACGAAGTCACCACGGGTGCCTCGTTGTCGTCGGGAACGTCGCCTATCATTAATAAAAGCATAGTGCCGTTAAATCTCGTAAGTACGTTATGCATATGCATGCGGCATCCATGCACTCGACAATTAATGATCACATCGATCAGTGTTATTGGTTAGTTTTGGTAATCGTATGCACACTTGACGCAGGCCTGCAAGCTCTCCTTACTCCTAATAGTAAGTTAAGTCATGTGGATCCATGTGTGCACGTATCCATGGAGACATGAAACAATAGAGACGTGCGCAATCTTTCGTTCTCGACTAATTAATCAATATCGAGATCGACCGGGTCAGGCCGGATCAGAGCTAACTAGGTAGGACCACAATAATAATGCATGTAAAAAAAGCTTATCTGTCCACGCGTAATCAATCGATATATATCAGTGCAAATAATGCATGCACGTGCTTTTCTTTTTCTTTTGGACAAATTATATTAAAACTCGACACGGTATGCCCCAAATTACATTGGAAAAAAAATCTGAAACAAAAAGATAGAATATGCTATGTACTAGTTCCTTCCAACATCTTCTCTAACGCCTTCCAATACTCTAGATAAATATATAGACTCTGTCGAACACCAAAACCGCAGTGCAGTTCTCATGCCGAATCCACCGATCAATTCCAAAAGCTTGGACACATGTCCCAAGATCCATTATTCCAGAACAAGACCAAAATGCATATGAATTCAGTGACTGATCTAGAAAAATTAGTTATTAGGAAGGTTTCTCCTATTATTTTTCATCTCTAGCATCTCCTTTCAAGCTTCTATGGGTACCAATTTGTAGGGGGATTATGAGGGGCTTCATGCTTCGAGTAGTGATAGCGGAGGCGTGATCCCACCCCTCCTTGGTGCAAGATCCGCCCTTGTCTGAATCGATACAAGAACATCAGCAGTTGAATTATTGGGTACATCACATGTTGTAGATTCAACACCTCCACCCTTGATCCCTCAAGTTGGACGCTTGATTTCCTCTTTACAGAAAAATTTGGTGGGGACTGCCCCATGGGGTAGTCGTGGGCAACTTGCTGTGACGGCATGTGTCCATACACACAATCATCCAATGCGTGAGAGAGTTTTACCTTTTCTTACCGATTCGTCCTCATGAATTTATGCAACAGTCCACTACAAGAAATCTAGGCTTGTATGACAAAGGCCATCTGTCACATTAATTCAAAAAAGTGTCATACAAAGCTGCTCATGACGAAATACAGGCGTCACGCCAGTCGTCATATAACGACCGTCACATAATGTACCGCGTGACGATTTTCTAAACTGCCGTCACAAATAGTCTGTACTTTTTGTGACGGTCATCACCCATCGTCACAATTTGTTACAATATATGACGTGCTTCTGCGTCACTAATAGTTGGTCAACGCGTCATATGTGACACCGGTCGTCACGTATTACGGTCTGAGAACCGGTTTTTGATCAACTTTTGTGACGGTTCTCTCGTGTCATGTTATGTTCTTTAGATTATATGACACTACTGTTTCGTCTTGTTTACTCTTGTTGTAGACCATGATTTGAGACGAATATATGGTGTCACAGTTATCTATGGAAAACATGACGCTCCTGGCATCCATGTTCAGTGACAACATACAAATCTATCACATGGAACCAAAAGCAGAATACACACATAAATATATAGAAGCCCAGGCATCATCACCAGGCTTAACATCACACAGAATTCATAGAAGTTTATACACATTTATTCAAATGGTTGCAAACACAGTAGCAACCACATAGGTCCATCACAGATCCACACCACATAGTTCCTGCACATCTAAACCACAGAAGTTCCACCACATAGTTCCACCACATCAAACACAGAAGTTCCAACACATGAAAATAACAAAGTTCCAACCACAGATCAAGGTTGTAGTAAAGTTCCCCATCCTCAGAAACTGCATCAAACCTACCTCAATCTTTTTGAAGTTTCAAGACAGCTCGCAGTAGTGCATTAGTCTCTTCAAACTTGTTATGCATCCCCTTCACTTCCTCTTGGGTCTGGAGCAGCAAACTTTGGTTTTCTTTAAGTGCAGCCTGTTGAGCTTGAAGTTGTGCTTGCAATTCTTCCTGCTTCCTAGCAGCTTCTTCTCTTTCAGCCTGCAGTCTTTCCTCAAACTCGGCTTGCATGCGTACTTGTGCTGCTGTCGATGAGGCACGGTTACTTTTCGACGCTCGACGGACACCAATGTTGGGAAGAAAGGTGGAAGAACGACTAATCTGGCTGAGACTGTCAGCAACAATCTTGGAAGGAGACTTTTGTGCTTGTCCTTCTTCTGGCTGTTTTTCTTTCTCTGCCACCATTAGTGCCTACATAAATTGAATGTAGTAAATAAGTCCATAGAAAGTGTTCAACCAGACATGTAATTCAGTACAGTAGATGTTTCTTTTCATTTTGTAACTTACATATACTTCATTGGCAAGAGGAGTTCGACCACTTTTGGGACTATTCATGCATTCACCAAAGAAATCAACAGGATCAGGTTCCATGTTATTGTACTTAGCCCTCTGCAACATTTAGAAAACTTGGATTACAATGAAGCTAAAGTGAGGTTGAACTCTGAAATCTTAAGTATGAGATGTAAACTAGGCCGTGAATTAGAAAAAAAAACATGTGATAACTTGACACAAACAAAGCTCATGGTAAGTACTCTGTTTAAATTGACCTATCTTTTTTCCTAATTATACAGAAAACTGAATGACAGCTTTGTAGTGTACTTTCAAGCACACTTGTTCATACAGTTTGCATTTCACAGTTAAAAAAAAGGTTCAAGCCACTCATCAGGCATTCAGGTTTACCAGGCTGTAGCAGGCAATACAGTTTGCATTTCACAGAGTACAGTATGCTTACCAGGCTGTACCGATGGGCAATATAGGACCTAGATCCAGTCCTTTGGTGCAGCTGCACTTGTTCTCGGTTGACTTTATTCTTAGCAGATTTCTCCTGCACCACAAATGCAATACAAAGTTTACAATGACATCAAGAGTTTGCATTCCATATTAACAAAAGCAACTGATGCTGGTCCTGTACCTGATTATTTGGGTCATACCAATACTCCACCAGTTGGTCCCATTCGTCTTTCTTCATCTTTGCTGGAGGTGGTTTGGCCAACATCTGTTCTTTTGTCAGTGACTCATCGAAGTACTTCCTTTTTAGGTGATACCTCGTCTGCCTTACTCCCCTCTTAATGATATCAGTGCATGCATCAAGGCTTGGTCCTTCGTTGTTAATGTCCACATCCAACCTAGACTGCAGCCACACACAAAAGATTTAGTATACACGATTTTCACATGGGACAATAGTAATGCAAGGAAGTAGTTGGAGTTAATTAGATGTCTCACCGCCACTTTTCGAAGCACTTTTTTGACTTCTTCTTGCCCTGCCTCATTGTCATATTTCTTCCAGGATGTGTAGATAGGCAAGTTTTCTCTAAGGGCCACACCTGTTTCTGATGCCAGCTTTGCTGCCTGAAGTGGTACATCAGGTCTTTTCTTGCCTTCAGATACCTGGATAGCCAGCTTCTTTCCTCTATTTAGCATCTTCTCTAATCCATGGCCCATTGTTTTCTTGCGGACTTCCTTTCGACGCACTGCATTGGCAAATAATAAGCAACATGTGTTGCTATAGCAGTAACAATTCATACTGGATGGAGAAAATAATACTATGAAACACGTATTGTTTACCTGGAACCAAGTCACTAACTTGTTCTCCTTCATCTGGTTGACCCTCTGACATAGCAGCTTCAAATTGTTCAATGGACTCATTGAGGTCATTGCTCTGCCTAGAGCTCTGTCCACCTGGTGAGGTTTCCAGCACTTGGTTGACACTAGTTGCGGGAGTAGGTCGACTAGACAAGGAAGCAGGGTTTGGACTAGGCATAGACATGGCTGCAGTTTGCCTAGCGTTTTCAGGAGGACTAGGCACTGTGTCTGGAAGAGGTGAAGACATGGCTGCAGTAGTTGTACCTTTAGTAGTAGGTTGATGAGATAAGGTAGTAGTGGAGAGACTAGGATTATACTCAGGGTTTGCACCAGGCATAGGCATAGACATGGCTGCAGTTTGCTTAGTGTACTTACTTGGACTAGGATAACAGTCTGGGTTTGCACCAGGTATAGGTCTGGCTGCAGCTTGCTTAGTGTACTTACGAGGACTAGCCACTGTGTTTGGAAGAGGTGAAGACATGGCTGGACCAGTCCTAGTGATTGTTGGATGAGGCACTGCGCTTGTAGTTTGGGTGGTTTGGCTGCTGTTTGTAGTGTTGTGGCCTTGTAGTTGGCTGGTACTTGGAACAGGTGCAGGCTTAGGGTTGGCTTTGGAAGTGGACTTAGGAGGCAATGGATGTCTTATCCTTGGTGGTGGACGGCCACCAGGCGAAGGCATGTTTACACTTTGCCTAGTAACTCTGGTAGGCGTGCGCGGGGGCTTCTGGTTGGTAGCCGCCATTGTTGCCACCTTTTGCTTCTTTGGGCGAGTTCCTGGTACCATTGGATTTTCCTAACAAGAGAAAATGCATCTTATTAATTATGAAATAAGTGTCAAGTATATCAATGAACTACACTGAAGTATATGTTTGAAATGGATAGACCATGAACTTGTTAGTTTACTAGTAATGCATCTCACCTCCTCAAAATCATCAGAATCATCACTGTCAGTTTGGTTATCAATATCAGATGATGGATCATAATCATGGTCAGAATCACGATTGTCAGATACTAGTTCCTTCCCTTTGAGCTTGGCCTGTTTTGGCAGACCATCTATAACCTCTTTGCTAAGATTGAAATACCCATTGATTTAAAAAACATCCTGAATATGCTTAACATGCTTTTCCCTGTCCTTCTCATACTGGGTGTTGGTCATTTTCTTCTATTACTTATTACATGCAAACACATAGAATGTGCAGAAACTGGATGTCAGTTTCTGAAAAAAAAGTTAAAGAAAAAACTAACACATTAGTAGTAAAATCGTACAAAAATAAAGGCTAAATCTAGCAGGTAGTTAAAAGGTGATTTCATAGTATGAGCTTATGTTACTAAATTGTACTTCACTGCAATGAAATGAAGAGAAAATACCTAAATTTTTTTCTAGCAGTGGCAAGGCATCAGTTGGGTTACGCAGACAACAAACAGAGCATGAATGAATGAATTAGTACATTGCAGGGGAGGGTGGGATTAGATCTGGTAGTTGGTCTTACCGTAGACAATGGCTGAAGCGTTCAGTGTAGACCGGTGGCGTAGTAGGGGAGTGTGGGGTCGGATCTGGCAGTCGGTGTAGTGGTGGTGCCGCTCTGGCCTCGGGCCAGGGACGGAGGTACCACCGGCGTCGATGTAGTGGTGACGGCCCTCCGGCCTCGGGCCAGGGGCGGAGGTACCACCGGTGTTGGTGTAGTTGTGGTGCCCTCCGGCCTCAGGCCGGTGGCGAAGGTAACACCGGCGTTGGTGTAGTGGCGGTGGCGGGATCCGGCGTTGAGTGTCGGCGGAGTGCCGGCCAGCGGTGTGACGACAGCCGTGGTTTAGGGGAGGGAGGAGGAAGCCATGGTTTAGGGGAGGGAGGAGGAGGCCATGGTTTGCAGCGTCAAGGTGCAGAGGCGGGCGGTATGGTGGCGGCGGGCGCTGTGGAGGCGGGGTGGTGGCGGAGACCTAATCTGGATGATTGGGGAATTTTGCCTCGTGTGCTATCCAGGCGAGGGGATAAGGCAAGGAGGGTTTTGGATGGCTTGAGCGGGAGGCGGGGAGGGGCCCATGTGTCGGCGACAAGGAGAGCGCGGGAGAGAGCGCGGGTGCGGCCGTGAAAAATTGGGCTGACGCATGGGCCCGATTTGTCGGTGGCATGTGACATGTGGGTCCAGATGTTCATCAGCTCCCACCATTTGTTCAAACGTTTTGTTTTTTAAATCTGTGGCAAAATCTTGTAACAAGTTTTTCTCCTACATACTACCTCCAAATCAGACGGTTTTTTTTTCTAAAAATTTCTAAAATCATGATGTATCAAAATATTGAGTTGTATTCGCTTATATTTTTATGGTGCAAAGTTTGATCAAAGGAACAAGTTCAACTTTTAAAATTTGCAACTTCAAACCAAAATTTGAACCTCCAAATCATTTCATCTGTAAAAGTCATGAATACAAGAGTTGAACAACTCATCAAGAGCAACAATTCTTATTTTGGTCATTCGGTCATCCGACAAAGTGACGATAATTTTGTTCACAAAAAATACATGTCTCACCTCTAGTTCATGAAACCCTAACTTAGATTATAGGATTTTTGAACTATTTTACTATCACTTTGTCGGATGGACAAATGACCAAAATAAGAATTGTTGCTCTTGATGAGTTGTTCAACTCTTGTATTCATGACTTTTACAGATGAAATAATTTGGAGGTTCAAATTTTGGTTTGAAGTTGCAAATTTTAAAAGTTGAACTTGTTCCTTTGATCAAACTTTGCACCATAAAAATATAAGCGAATACAACTCAATATTTTGATACATCATGATTTTAGAAATTTTTAGAAAAAAAAACCGTCTGATTTGGAGGTAGTATGTAGGAGAAAAACTTGTTACAAGATTTTGCCACAGATTTAAAAAACAAAACGTTTGAACAAATGGTGGGAGCTGATGAACATCTGGACCCACATGTCATTGAAACGATGGTCCACTTGGCACTAGAGTAAATAAGACCTGGCCCCACATGTCATATGTAGAAGGGTACTTCACTTGTGCTGAGAGTGTGGCCGGTCTGCCACTGTCGCCGGCCACCCCTCCAACCGTACCAGTCGCCGGCAGCGACCTCCACCTCCAGCCATGCCACCCCAATGCCCTTCTCAGTAGCAGATTCTTCGCCCTCCTCTGATCTACAGGCACTGCCCCATCCTTCACCTGCGAGCTGCCTCCCCTCCCTTCACCTGCTTGGTACCGGCGACGAGGCAATGGTGGACACTGGTGGGCCAACTCGTGGTGGTGCTTGGCTGGCTAGCTGAGCTACTCATCTTCACAGAAGCACCCACCAAGACGTCACAAACCCCCCCACCAGTGTCGAGCTTGGCCGTCCAAGGCAAGGTGGATCTGCATTTGCTAAAATAATAAAAGGTGAGCTCAGTGAAGCAGAGTGTTCCCCTTTTCATTTTTTTGCATTTTTTTTTACTTGTTTGCACCTACATACTTGCAGATCTAGATGGATAGAAGTTGGATTTATAACACAAAACGGTTTTCACCGGAGTTTATGTCTGGTGTTCAACAATTCATGGAACATGTGAGAGGTAGATATGGTCCAGATGAGGAAATCAAGTGTCCATGCCGAAAATGCCTGAACCAGAAAGAAATAAGTCAAGATGGTGTACAAGAACATATCGAACTCAATGGTATGTCTAAGTGCTATACTAGGTGGATTCACCATGGAGAGGAAGATCTTGATGTTGGTCAAGATGATGATGGAGAAGTTGCTGTTGTACCTGAAGATATGCCATGGGATGGAAATGAACAGTCAACACTTGATGAGGAAGGACAAGTTGAACATGTCATAGAAGATAGTGCACGGGGAGTTCAGGGGATCATTGAAGATTTGCATGCGGCAGCAAGCCATGGCTTTGGCGGTAACTTATATAAAGAAATCATGGAAGAGGCAAGGCGTGAACTTTATCCAGGTTGCACCGAGGAGTCTAGGCTTACTTTCATTATTAAGCTGCTGCATATAAAAGTGTACAATCGGATAACAACATCTGGGTTTGATGCATTCCTTGCATTGCTTTCATCATCTTTGAAGAATGTGCCCGGCCTTCCTAAGTCATATAATGAAATGAAAGCCCTGCTTCGGAAGCTTGGTTTTGGTTATGTGTCTATTGATGTGTGCAAGTATGATTGTGCCTTATTTTGGAAAGACCATGAAGCCGATGAGCATTGCCCAGTTTGTGGATTCACAAGATGGAAAGTGAACAAGGAAGGCAGAAAGAAAGTTCCTCACAAGGTCCTTCGTTACTTTCCAATTATTCCACGCCTACAAAGGCTATTTATGTCAAAGCAACGGGCACAATATGCAAGATGGCACAAGGAAAAGAGGGCACCAGTTGATAATGAAATGAGACATCCTGCTGATGGGGAAGCTTGGAAAGAATTTGATGAGCATTTCAAGTCTTTTGCGAGATGATCCACGATTTGAGGTTAGCCATTGCTCTGAGATGGATTTAACCCATTTGGGCAGATGACCAATTCATATAGCATCTGGCCAGTGATAGTAGTTCCCTACAATTGGCCACCATGGATGTGTATGGATCAGTCCAATTATATGCTTGCTTTGCTAATTCCAGGGAAAAAGTCGCCGGGCAAAGATTTCCATGTGTTCATGCAGCCTCTAATAGAAGACTTGATTACTCTTTGGGGTGGTGTCCGTACTTATGATGCTGTTGAAGGCAAAGATTTTAGACTGCGTGCAGCAATTCTGTGGGCAATCAATGACTACCCTGCATTAGGCACCTTGTCAGGTAGAACCACAAGGGGTTACTTTTCATGTGTGCATTGTGATGAGAACCCATGTTCTGAATGCTTGAGAAATAAGATTGGTTTCATAGGCCATAGACGTTTCCTTACACAAGATCATCGCTGGAGGAAAAACAAAACTTTTGATGGCCACCATGAAAGTAGAGAAGCAACCAAGGAAATTCTATCGCAGATGAGGTTATGGCAAGGTTGGATGAAATTATCTATGTTCCGGGCAAGAATCCAGATATGCCAAAATCAAGAAAAAGACGCCAGAACGGAGAACCCGGTTTGGCATTTGAAGGTCAGCTTGTATGACTTGCCATATTGGTCAAAATTGAAGCTTCAGTACAACCTTGATGTCATGCACATAGAGAAAAACATATGTGACAACATTTTGTCAACTCTACTTAATATTCCTCACAAGACAAAGGACACAGTCGCTGCTAGACTAGATTTGGAAGACAGAGGTATAAGAAAGGAGCTTCATTTGGTGGGAGACTCCTCAAAGCCCAAAGCGTGTTACGTTCTAACACCGGAGGAAAAGAAAAAGTTCTTGGAGTTTGTGAGCAATGTTAAATTTCCAGACGGCTATGCCTCTAACATATCAAGATGTGTCAATCTGGAGGGAGGAACAATGTTTGGACTAAAAACACATGACTGTCATATACTGCTTCAGCGTATTTTACCAGCTGCCCTTCGTGGTTTGGTGCGCAAAGATGTATATGAAGTAATAGCTGAATTAGGAAGGTTTTTCAGACAACTTTGCTCAAAAACTTTAAAGGTAGATGCACTACACCAGATGAAGGAAGATATTGTCATTATCCTTTGCAAGTTGGAGAAAATTTATCCTCCTGCATTCTTCGATGTTATGGTTCACCTAGCAGTACACTTACCAGATGAGGCACTCCTTAGGGGACCGGTTCAATATGGGTGGATGTATCCCATTGAGAGAAGATTGGGTACCTTTAAGCGTTTCATCCGAAACAAAGCAAGACCAGAAGGATGTATTGCAGAGGCATACACTGCCTATGAGTGTATGACCCAGTGCTCAACATATTTCAGTGACATTATTAATAGGTTCACTAGGCCAGAGAGAAACTTAGATGGAGAACATAACATGTCACTGAATGGTTACTCTATTTTTTCACATGGTGTTAACCTGCTGGGTGCTTCAAATTTACATTACGAAGAAAAAGACTATGACTCAATGGTTTGGTTTGTTTTAAATAATTGTGACGAGGTTGATGAATACAAAGAGTGAGTAATTGCTATAATGTCATTGCATATAACCTTATTCAATAATTAATGGTGTCACAAAAACTTATTAAGTTATTCCTTTATTGCAGCTTGTACAGGGAAGAATTAGAACACCAACAAGTTAATTGGTTAGTTTTGGTAATCGTATGCACTCGACAATTAATGATCACATCGATCAGTGTTATTGGTTAGTTTTGGTAATCGTATGCACACTTGACGCAGGCCTGCAAGCTCTCCTTACTCCTAATAGTAAGTTAAGTCATGTGGATCCATGTGTGCACGTATCCATGGAGACATGAAACAATAGAGACGTGCGCAATCTTTCGTTCTCGACTAATTAATCAATATCGAGATCGACCGGGTCAGGCCGGATCAGAGCTAACTAGGTAGGACCACAATAATAATGCATGTAAAAAAGCTTATCTGTCCACGCGTAATCAATCGATATATATCAGTGCAAATAATGCATGCACGTGCTTTTCTTTTTCTTTTGGACAAATTATATTAAAACTCGACACGGTATGCCCCAAATTACATTGGAAAAAAAATCTGAAACAAAAAGATAGAATATGCTATGTACTAGTTCCTTCCAACATCTTCTCTAACGCCTTCCAATACTCTAGATAAATATATAGACTCTGTCGAACACCAAAACCATGATGCGGTTCTCATGCCGAATCCACCGATCAATTCCAAAAGCTTGGACACATGTCCCAAGATCCATTATTCCAGAACAAGACCAAAATGCATATGAATTCAGTGACTGATCTAGAAAAATTAGTTATTAGGAAGGTTTCTCCTATTATTTTTCATCTCTAGCATCTCCTTTCAAGCTTCTATGGGTACCAATTTGTAGGGGGATTATGAGGGCTTCATGCTTGAGTAGTGATAGCGGAGGCGTGATCCCACCCCTCCTTGGTGCAAGATCCGCCCTTGTCTGAATCGATACAAGAACATCAGCAGTTGAATTATTGGGTACATCACATGTTGTAGATTCAACACCTCCACCCTTGATCCCTCAAGTTGGACGCTTGATTTCCTCTTTACAGAAAAATTTGGTGGGGACTGCCCCATGGGGTAGTCGTGGGCAACTTGCTGTGACGGCATGTGTCCATACACACAATCATCCAATGCGTGAGAGAGTTTTACCTTTTCTTACCGATTCGTCCTCATGAATTTATGCAACAGTCCCATGTGTTGGTTGATTAATTGTGCATGAACACACGTCATGGATCCATGACAGGTGCCTATGGATGCCCCATGGGGACCATCCCCACTGAATTTTTACCCCTCTCTACGATCATCGACGATGAGACTAGAGTTAATATCCCCATGGAAGAGCCCACCCTTCCCCTAGTAGATAGTGTCCACAAAGTGACCTCATACAGATGTGCTTTCATTGTAAGCAATAAATTAAAAGTTCCCGGTTGAACATTAATCATATGACTTCACAGTAGATTTATTAAAACTAAATCCAAGCAAATTAACTAAGCTGAAGAATCACGTAATTGTAAAGAGAGATGGATTATTGCCTCTCCTTGTTGCCACCGACAGCCTTGCCAGAGATGAACGAGGGGGCTCTGAATTGCGTCTGCAAGATGCCCTAGACCGCGGTGGTGGTGGTAGCTTGGAGACCTGCATGAGCTTTCAATTTGCTGGATAAGACACAATAATGCATGTAAATAAACTTACCGACATGTGAAAACGTATGGGTGTAGCTGGGGTTTACATCAGCTACAAAACTCGGCCAAGACACAGTGCAAGTTGCCGGCTACTGCTACTTGCAAGAGAATTGACAAACTCCACGTACTATACGAATCGTTCAACAAGTTCAGATTTACGTCGGTTAGTTCATCGTCTATCACGCGCGCGTCCTTGAGATTTCATTCGATTTTTTTACCTGGCTTTAAGATTCTTCTATTGTTGGTAGCAAGCTACTAGCTAGGCCGCTACCTGAGCTGGATTGTCGAGGAAACACTTCATGGTCTGAGCGGATGTAACAGCAAAGCCTATACATGCAAGAGAAAGCCAGCAGGAACACCGGATGTAACTGCAAGCCTATAAATGCAAGAAA